GTTTTGCTCACTTGAGGTTTAAATCCCTTTGTCCAATAATTTGGAGGATACTGTTTGTAGATTACCAGTGGCAGAAAGCGAAAGCAGTCAGTGGGAATGATAGTTTCATGTCGACATGCAGCTTAAATTTCACTGATGGATTTTTCCTGCAAGTCGTCCCGTTTGAAAGTCTGAGCCTGGTTTTAGTTCTGAGCAGAGCAGCTGTGTGATTACCTCTGCTGCACCAAAACTCAACACATGATACAAATAATTAAAAAAAAMCAATCTTCTCTTAGATTTTTCTAATTAAAAAAAACATCTTTCTCCACAGCCAAACGGGCGTTAATGGATTTTCCTAAGGACGACAATAAAACAGCCGAGGTTTTTCCAAGCGCAGCAGCGGAGCAGCGACCACATCATTTTCTCATGAGCAGAGGGGTGGACCCTGAGGAGTTTTCAAACAAACACTCTCCCCCTGCTACACCTCTGACTCAGGAATGATCCAAATTCTTGTCCATCAAAAATGTTTCGCTTTAATCATCTTCACTTGTCACAGAAATAAGAGTTTYAAATGAGCCCAAAAAGGGGTGGGAATGAAGAGAAAGGCACCAGCAAGAGAACAGAGGAGGCAGACGGGAATATGGAGCGAGGAAAAACAAACAAGGAGAGTACACACTAGGCCTATTGTTGTGTAGTTTAGCCTCCCTGACTGCTGTGGGACTCGCCAGAAGATTTACTGCCCTCCGCACCGGTTGGACCGCACGTGACTCTGACCGAGGTGCTGGAACAAGCCTGACGCCCGTTTGGCATGCAGGCCGTGTTTTTTGTCCGTGTGCCACCTCCACACATGCAGCCGTGGCAAAGGAAGGGAAACGTCGGCTCTCTGCAAAACGACGTGACGAAAGCGCGCAGGAGATCAACGCCGCGTTCTTATCCGAGTCGAACAATGATGCTTGCACAGATAAGCTGTCATTCTCCCCCACACCTGGTCAAATCTGCATTCAGGTGTTTATCTAGAAGTAGAAGATAAAGTAAGTTCTGCACTAACAGACACACACACAGACATGGTGTGTATTCTGAGAGAAACCAAAGGAAAGCAAAATCTGAAGTGGAGTTCTGTTGTGAACAATTACTATCTTACCTGTTGTAGATAGATGTTTGTGTGGTATAAGAAAATACTGGGCTTAAAATACAACCTCTCATGCCAGAGGTTCATTTTGTGTTGTATTAAGGTCCTGTCACACAACAACATTTTAGATAACTTATACTCACTTATGAACATTTTGTTATGGCTATTTTACTCATATCGGCTATATTCTATCTAATGGTTTGCATTACATTATGTATAGGTCCAAAAAAGGCTTCCAGTAGATTTTTTTAAATCCATCCTTAGCTTAGTTCAGGACTATTCAACTAAATTGCTCTGGGAGCCACAGTTAATGCACAACAATGGCACAGGGGGGCAAACATCCAGCAATTAAAATAATTTTGTAAATAAATCAAGTATTMCAAAGATCTGTTACCTTTGAATTAGTTTATTTTGCTGCATTTAATCATGAAWACAACATACAGAACCCTATGTTAGAAAAGTGGTTATATTAAAACAATACCAAAAACAAAAATAACACATTCTAGATCCTATTTAACACAAAATTTATTTTAACATATTTGACCTGCCAAATTTTTAAACCAATTTTATTTTCACTTTCGTAGTTTTATCTTCAACTGATTGTAGTTTTAACCGTCTTAGATTTCCTAGAAATGTTTTTTACCAGCTTCTAGCCAAAATTCTGACGTTTCTGTAGATACCAAACATGTTTTAGCTGAAAGAACTTAAAGTAATTAAAGTAGAAAACCGGAGGTTTGGACTTAAGAGAGCAGTGAACCAATTGGCGGGCCACATTTTGGTCACTCGCAGACCAGATGTGGCCCGCGGGCCGCCAGTTGAATAGCCCTAGCTTGGACATTTTTAGTGTTGGACAAACTTTTCATAAGTTGGCAGAAGTTACCTAAAATCTTATAGTTGTTCAGTGTTCTTCTGGCTGCATAAAAATAAACTGAATTTAATCCGATTTTATGCATGTAATGCATGATGTGCTGTTTATAGAGCAGGGCTATTCAACTGGCGGCTCGTGGGTCATATCTGGCCCGTGAGTGACAAAAATGTGGCCCGCCGACTGGTGTCTGGTATCTACAGAAACGTCAGAATCTTGGCTAGAAGCTGTTAAAAACCATTTCTAGGAATATCTAAGACAGGTACAACTACAAGCAGTTGAAGATTAAACTATGAAAGTGAAAATAAAATTGGTTTAAAAATTTGGAATGTCAGAAATGTCAAAATAATATTTGTGTTAAATAGGAGGCAGAATGTGTTATTTTTGTTTTTGATATCGTTTAATTATCACTACTTTAATTACATAGGGTTCTGTATGTTGAATTCATGATTAAATGCAGCAAAAGAAAAAAAACTCAAAAGGTAACAGATCTTTGTAMTACTTGGTTCATTTACAAAAAGACTTTTATTGCTGGATGTTCGGCCCCTGTACCGTTGGTCTGCATTAACTGTGGCCCCCGCAGCAAGTTAGTTGAATAGACTTATAGAGKTTTTTTTTTGTTAGAATAGTTTGGAGAAATAAAGACTTTGCTTACAGTATTGTAATATATCATGATATCATATCGTGGTCCATGTGTCACAATAAATATATCASTGATTTCTTGCTAACGCAGCCTGGGGTGGTTCAAATTGAATCAGAGAATTTTCTGAATCGATACTGAAAACAATGTAATATTGTGCATTGATGAATCAATATTTTTACCCAGCCCCATGCTTCCTYTGTTTCTTCATGAATCTCAGGAGTTGGAAAACCTGCACAGTTTTCAGTTCCTTGGGGCTGGGCGATAAATTGATTTAATCAATTAATTCGAATTTGCCATTTATAAAGATTTAATTTTGGGAAAATCTAGATTTTTTTTCCCACCAGTGCACTGTTTGGGGCTTCTAGTTCAGAGGTCACCCCACCTGTCCCTCAAGATGCTTGGTACATGACAAGACCTATTATGCATAAATGACCTTCCAAAAATATTGAAGTATTCAAATATTTTAATGTATGCTGATGATACTGTTCTTTTTTGTCTGATTTCAATATTGAATCTATTAATAGTCAGTTACAAGCAGATCTTCAGACATTTCATGGTTGGCTTCAAGATAATCTTTTATCAATTAATGTTAAAAAAAAACTGTGTGCATGTATTTTTCCTCACCCAGGAGACATTTCAATATAACAAATCAACGTACTTTTTTAAACAAACCCCTTGATATTGTCACTACCTACAAATATCTTGGAATTACTTTGGATTCTCATTTGACTTATCGTGATCATGTACAAGTCTAAACCACTAAGTTGAAACAGAAATTATACATTTATTCAAAAATTAGATCCAATCTGACATCTTCTGTTTCAAATRTCTATCTTCATGCCATTATACTCTCAACCATGTCGTACTGTTCACCTGTTTGGTCTCTTACAACAAATGAAATCTTAGAACCCATAGTTAGGCTCTACAACAGGGCCTACAAAATTCATAAAAAACTTCCTGGTTGGACTCATCACTGTACAGTTCTTTCATTGTCTGATGCCTTGACTTTTCAGAATTATGTTTTGTATAGTGGTATTGATTTATATTTTCAGATCTTTCAAGGTGCCAATTATGGAACTCTCTGTGCATTGCTGCCCAAGTCAAATTCTGGAAGTGGTCATTCAACTAGATCTGTTACAAAAGGACAACTGATATTACCAACTTTTAAAAACTGTTACGGCCAGTGGTCTTTCTTCTATGTTTATACTAAAGCATGGAATGACATTCCTCAAAACATCAAGTCCATTTCAAAACTACAGCCCTTTAAGAAGAATCTCGTCTGCCATCTGCTGGATACTTTTTGTTGTGCTCATATTTAGACGTCCTATTTTGCAAATGCTGCCTTCCTGAAATTTGGTATGCTTGTTTGTCTTTGTGTCTATGGTGTATAATGATGTGATTGTGATGCTGTAATTCTGAGTGTTTTATGTGCTGCAGAACAGGAACCTGCTGTAAAACAGCAATTATGCTAAGTCAGGCTTGATTTTTAATAATCTTTTCCTGTTAAATCAAATCAAAATGACAGCTAGCAAAGAGGATCTTCTCAAAAAAGACACTTACTTCAGTTTTCTGGAACCAGTAAGGTTTTACCTCAGGTTTGGAGCAACAAACACCTCACCGCAAAATGTGTTTGAAGGCTCTTGATACAAAAAGCAGGAGTACAACAAATTTGTTTCAGCACCTGAAACAGAGGCACTCCGTTAAGTGGGAAACAAAATCGATTAAACTCAAAAATCAAATTTGGGATGAAAAAAATCTGGGTACAAGGCATTAAATATGTGACGATTCTTGGTTGTGCTTGATTTTTAATTCAAATCCTAAGTTGTGCGCAATCATCGATCTTCCCTCAGGAATAAAACTTTGAGCATCAAAGCCGGTGCATGGGTTAGCTTTGACACTTTGGTCCACTCAGAAATAACACCACAGGTGGACAGAAGGTGTCCAAGTCCCAGCTTGACAAAGAGCTTCCTTTTTTTTTTAAATTTTTCCCCCCAGAACCTCACTTCAAAAGATCTGAACTACCCCTTTAGGTGGTTGCAACTTAAACAAACTGCAACAGTGTTGAGTCAGGCATCCTCTGAAATGCAAATCACTACCAGGGAGCCTAATGATGGAGAGGAAGGTAAACAGAGTTCCTTCAATGGGCTGCAGCGCGGTGGGACACCAGAACACGGTTTCCTGCTAATCCTGCTCATTTATTGAACCTGCAGAAAACACGAGCTGCTGGGAGAGACACCTTTAACTGCTCCTGCTTTACTCCGTGACAGCAGCAGATATTTCACCCGCTTTTAGCGCAAACTAGAAATAAAAAAAAAAGAGAGCGAATCCAGTTTGGTGCAAAGCAGCGCAGCCAATAAACTTCAAAGTAGGTTTTGCGCACTCACCTCAAACAGGGGTCCGATTTTATTCTTCTCCAGATACGACTGAATCCTTGACTGTTGAGGAGACGCCATGAAGGAAAGAAAAAAAAATTGAAAGAGGAAAAAAATAAATAAATAAATAAATAAAAACTAGAGTGCCTCCCTCGCCAAGAGCTTTTAGCAGAATGAAAGGAGAGCCGGTGGAGTCATTCGTCCTTCAGGAGAGGCAGTCTGAGGTGAAACTGAACCGGGATCAGTTCAGATGTGGAGCCGGTGCATGGTGGAGGAGAGTCAGCCCGGGACCTCCACACCCACAGCCCCTCAGTGCTGCCTCTGTCTGTCCGCGTCTCCCGTGGAGGAACCAGCGGCATCGCAGCGCTGTGACAGAAAACACACACCTCCTGCGCGCGCGCGCGCGCGTGTGTGTGTGTTCACAGCCCGAGACACTCCCATTTATCAGCCACCCCTCTGGGATTAAAGGTTCTCACTGCAAAGTGAAACCAAGCATACAATTCTTTGTATCAAACAGTTTGACCGAGTTTTAATCCTGCTGCTTTCCAGATATGTTGACTTGTTGTTCTGAAATGCGGGTACGCACTCAACGTAAACGAAGCACTTTTATCTGCTGTTTTGAGGATACGACCCAGACTGCAGGTGGAGGAGTGGAGCCGAACTTTAACTTATTCACAAACTAGAAAAATAAAGTGCTGACGTGGCAGAACCCACCATAGGACCAGATCATTAACAGAAACTCACACATATCACACAAGAGCAAAACAGGAAGTAGTCAGAGCACATCACGTAAAGTGCAAACACCTGCACAGTGCAGGTAGGTGTGGCAGGGACACAACACGCACTGAACTGATCAGGAATGCAAGAAAACAGAACTAAATAAAAAAAATAACTACAGATCTTAAATTTTAACAACTAAACCAAAACACAGAATCTTAACACAAACCTGAGCGTAGTTAGCAGCTTCTCAATCTCAGAAGACTCGAAGAAATGTGTTGAATTTACATAACCAAGTTGTTCCACTTTAAATGTGAAAAGTTTTACATATTTAAGGGAGATATTGTGCAAAATCGACTGTTTTGAGCCTTTTTAGCTGCCTAAATATTTGCTGGTACAAAAAAACCACCTATTTACACATAGCTACCCACAGAGCACCCCTCCCCTTAAGCATTGTTGTGTGCYGAAGTGGGAGTGTCAGAAATGGTAGGAGGTTCTTAAAGACACACGACAGGCCCTGGAGCAGTGTGGTTATCCTGACTGGGCTTTCCTGAAAGCAGACAGGAAACACAGACAGGATTCCATGCAAC